AGTCATTTTAGCATGCCCCGTGTCAGAGGAACACCACGTTGGGCACGCAGCTTTTGTTTTGTAATTTTCAAAGATGAATATCCACTCATGAAATATGGAACATCTCTTGTCTCAAAGGTCATTCTGAGCCTTCTCTTAGGGTCACCTGTTCTTAGGGAACTTAGACTCTGTACTCTGTAGAGCCTGCACCCACAGCCTGCAAACATGCTTGTGCTGGTGGGTAGATGGAGCCCTGCCTAAAAGTTCACGTGATAGATCAGGAATGTTCGAGTTGAGAAACACAGAATATCTGTCCAATTTTATCACAGGTTCGTTGTGTTGCTTTGGACTTAAACCCAGGTGTCCTGTCTGCCAACCCAAAACCATTACTAATGGATTCTAGTTCCTCACAGTGGTTGCTAGGCACAATTCTTATAGTTTAAGGTCCTTGGCAGGACTGTTTGGAATTGCCTTCCCCACGCAGGCCAGCCCAGCCAGTTCTCATCCAGCCTGCTCCAGAACGGACTTTTCAGCTGAGTCAGGCAACTGGGCTTTCTACCATTCAACATCTACATCCCAAAAAAAGGACCGATGCCTTATCAAAGGGCATTAGACTTTGTGTTTCAAAAATTCAGTTCATGACCTTCAACACTATGATTCGCTCTGAGAATTTAATTGTTAAAAGAAACTGGATTAAGGAAAAGATTTAGCTACCAAGATGACATGAATTTGTTTTTATAAAAACAAGATCCTGTACCCAAGAGAACTGCTCAGATAAGCTCTGATATATTTATATCGTAGTTTATTTTATTTTGCACCCATAAAAAAATGATGTTGTATGAAAATAACATCTCATAGCTGGGGAAGTATTCTTGATATATTGCTCAGGAAAAGCAACTTGCAAAACAGCAGGTACAGAATGATTCTAACTTTGTAACCAAAGTGTATATTTATGCCTGTATTTGTTTAAAGTAAGGACTCATGAAATATGCCAATGTACCAAGGGCAAGTGGTAAAATGACTAGCCATTAATATTTATGCCTTTGGGTTTTACTGTCTTTTCTAAGATTTTTGAACATGGAAAGATATTACTTTTATAATGAGACTAAAATATTTAAAGTTAAAGTGATTATTCCCTTTAATATGTCTCTCGAGTAGCTGAAAAATAGTTGGTATCTGTTCAGCCCCTTAGTAGTGGAGACAGAGATAGGTATAGAAGGTGAGCTATGATAGAAACTTTTATTTCGTGTAGTATTTACAATCCTTTGGGTCTATTGGAAACATTTTAAAATCAAGCACAAGGTATTAAAAACTGATTTCTTCTACACCTTAAAATTATAGGTCTCAAATCTTTTTTTTTTTTTTTTAGAACATCTCCTAATTACGCAGCAAAACCTATGACTCATTTTCCACTGGGAAAACAAACACTTTGACATAAAATTGGAGAAAACAAGACCAAACACATCACAGTGTTTTGGCAATATCTAAGAACCACTTGGGTTCTGTGACGAGCAGATGAGCTGAGACTAATGACTCCAAGTCTCAACATACTACAGAGCATGAACTTTTTTAGTTGAAAACCATGAATATCTGCCCAATTTTATCACATGGTTTCCATGTCTTCCTAGAGCAAGCCCAAGAATGTTTTTACATTTCTCTTGCTGGGCACATTACTTAAATAGATCAAATTGACAGAGGATGCATGTTATCCGAAGGTGGTATACCATTCAATATATGTTGGGAGTTTCTGTCTGCTAAAGAACTATGGTAGGAGATACAAATTAACTTGGGGACTGGGAAGCTATAGGTGAAAATTACATTGTTGATCTCTAGACAGGCGCTGTGATGAGCTTTTGGAGATTTTAAGAATTAACTGGGATTTACGCAATGGGGTGGAGGATATGAATTCTAGCATCTGAAAGGACTCTGCCTGGCCATCTCCTTTTAAAAATGGTTTGGCTTGCCAAGTGCTGTTTGGCTCTGACCACTTATATATCTTCTTCCAAAAAGAGGATAATGTCAAGAGGAGACGTGGCCTGGAGGCCTCGTGCTCTTATGAGTCCCAAGGGGACAGTGGGCTGAACTACTGTCAGGGGGGTTGTGGGCCAGGCTCTGAAGCTAATTAGGGCAACAGACTTGAGGACGCCCTGGTTGCCGCTGCCCTCAGCAAAAGCCCCATGATCAGCCAGGCTGCCCGGTCAGAAGGAATCCTTTGTGAGGTTTGTTCCGCCTCCTCCTTCCTGCCATCTTCTGTGCTCTGTGCAACCTCTTCAGGCTTCTCCATGTTTTCTGACTTTCTTCCAACCCACACTTGTTCTCAGGAAGGTTCTGATCTTTGCTTGATGTTTTGAGTATGGATTTGGTTAATCACTGCCCTGCTAAACCGAATTATCATGCTTATGCTCTTCTTAAATGGTTACAGGGATGATTCTGTCCCCTGGAAAAGTAACCATGTATAATTCGGAGGTGAAGGGGCTTTTCCAGACTCCCTGAAGTCACAAGATTGCTCCTTTTTGGATAAGATCCACTTCAGAAGCAACTGTCGAAAGGTGTGAATTTAAACCAGAAGCCGTCACTAGTTGCTTCCAGCTCTGGGTTGCAATGCTCCCAACAAAAATCCCTAATTTATTTATTTATAGATATATTTTTTGGCTTGTTTCTGTTTCCAGGGAAGAACCTGGGCTGATCAGGGAAGTATATGGGTAAATTCCTGAATGAGCTGTGCCTGTTTTTCTCTTCTATAAAATGGGTACAAAAGTAACACTGTAGTCGTGTTTTGCATAATGAAGTTCAGTCAGGGACGGACCTCGTGTAGACAGCAGCCCCTTCAGCTTAAAATGAAGTTGAAGCATGTCCATCATTTAGTGACGTTGTCATCTTAATGTCACGGCACAGTGCAGCACTCATATGTTGGTGGTGAGGCTGGTGCAGGCCGCCCTGCTGTCCTGCCTCTCATATGAAAGTATAGCCTGCTTAATTATGTGTGATGGGTATTATGACAGTGTTAGTTATGCCACTGGTTTATGCCTTTGCTAACCTTCCTAGGTAGCATCTGCTGTGCGAAAAAATATACAGTGACTATTTAAAATTTAAAAATTGTACTAGCTTTCAAGGTCATTTTGATTTTGGGGAACAGCTAGATATCACAGAAGCCCGTGGTCAGAGAATGAGGTGGACAGGAATACACCCTAATGTTTTTATTTGCCCCAAATTGCCGTAAATGTGTTCAACTGATTCAGGACATGGAGGTGGTCACTATAGACTTTTCCAAAAGAGGACTTTCAGAACTACTTCAGAAAGCACAAAAACGATGCATGTTTGTTTAAAGTGAGGGGAAATATTTTGACGGGAATTAAGGCGATGTGTCTTTTGTTGTGATATTTTAAAAAATTTAAACATCTACCAATATTTTGATCTTTTGCATAGATATATACAAATATATATATATATATATAACAAATACATTGAATATATATAAAAACATGCCACATTTTACCACCTGTAATTTCAAAGGTATCAAGTTTTTCATATCTCTCCATTGCATCAGGAGGTCACATATGCGTGACCTAGAGGCCATGTAGATTCTACAATATTCAGAGTTTCCGCAGCAGACAAAGTGCCTAACGATGCAGTTTTGATGGTGTATCTCCATCATAGAGCAGTGGGTAACTGCGGGTCTGGTTGTAGGGAGTTCAAGGTAATAGGGTGCATAAGAGAGCATGTGTAACACCCCTGAAACAGGGACATCACACCAGGGCGTAGTTACTGCTCCCCTCCAAGCTCTGGAGGAGCCCCTTTAACTTGAAAGTGGTTCTTCTAGTTCTGAAGAGACAGTTTCATTTAATCTTTTTTGGGCTTGGTTCTGAAGGTACAAATAGATATTAGTATTGGGTTTTTTCATTTCAGCTACTGTACCGAGCCAAAAAGAAAACCTTCTCTCAGTGTGCCATGCTAGAAAGAAACGAAAAGAAGGAAGGTAGGAGAGAAGGAAGGAAAGAAAAAAAAAGAAAACCTGAAGACATGTCAGTTTACTGTTAGTACATTAATACCCAAGACTCCGATCAACCGTTAGGTTTTCACCACAGCTACTTCAGTCCCTACTACAGATCACACCTTAATGCCATGACATGTTTATATGTCTGTCTCTCTGCTGAATGCTGCTTTCTGAAGTGTCCAAAATCTGCCCTGTGTCCTCAAAGCCAGCACAGGAGGTTTAACAAGTACCTGTCAACCTCAGCTAGTTACTTAATTAACTTTTGGTTATGGAGAAAGATCAGGAAGGGCTGCAGTAAGGATTTATTCTAGGAAAGTACATCCTTTGAGGAGGGTCTGGATCCAAAATGTCCATGAGGAGAACCATGGACGTTGGGTGTCTTCAGGGCCCCAGGTGGCACTGGTATCAAGTTGCATTGGTCTCTACTGTGATTTGTTATTCATGAAGTTCATTTATCATATGTCCAGCTCTTTGAAGTATCAGCTTCTAATGCTGTCAGCACCTGTCTACTCCCTTCCTTCTGAGCCTGTAGATAAGCAGGATGTGGCTGGGCTGCCTGGGACCTGCAGCGTGGGTGAAGAAGGCCCCGTGATGAGTCTGCTCCGCTCATCCCGGCAGCCCCAGCACACTCAGGCATTCACCTGGTGGCTAATGTGTTTGAGACCAAGCAAACCACACCAAGAGGAGATTCTCCTGCTTGCTTGGGCCCTTGGGATTAAATAACCAGAATCAAAATTTGGGACATTACATTTAAGATGTTCACTCTTGATGTAACCATGGCTGGGCTATGGCAAGTCATTTCTCAGAGAAAATTCACCAGTATTTCAAATTCTGCAACCCTGTTCCACTCTGTCAATAGCAATAGCCATCTCTGTTAGCCCCCAACACATCTCTAGGCAGCTTAACGCTATCGCTATTGAGAAGAGGGCAGAAATGCTTCCTTACAAAGAAAGGAAGTCTTCTAAGGAACTAATCAGAGCCAGTGTGAATCACTAGGTGAAATGCCATCTCTTCTTCTTTTTAACAGCATTCCTTGAGTTCAGAGTTGCCTCTGCTGTAGAAGATAAGGAGAAGAGAAGGCAATGAGCAATCCTCAAAGGAAGAGAGATTCAAGAGGAAAGAGAGAAATTGTGAGGGATCATATAAGGGAAGGATGGTGAGCCATTGGGGTGGATGTAGGGGCCAAGAGGTGAGATGCTATTTTAATACATAAAGTTGTCAGAAGTTCCTTAAGAATCTTCATCCTTTTGTCATTAAACCCTACCTCCTAGAGACAGGAAAGAGAGAAGACATGGGCACCAGAATTCATCCATAAGCACGGCCTTCCCTTGCACGGCCTTGTCTGAGCCACATGCTCCTCTCCTTAGCACCAGCGGGCGCCTGCTACCATAGAACTTGCTATGGTACACTGAAATTGTTTCTTTGTCATGGAAATACATTCTTTTGCCAAGCACGGGGCCTATGTTTTCATCTTTATTTCTTACAAGTCCCAGGTATGTTGAAAAATATTGTTTGAAAAGAGCCATAACTAATTGCCTTTGATAAAAATACAGTAGAGAAAATAATTTTGTTATTTGTCTGATTGGCTAAAAATCCTCCAGTTGGAAACCATGTGTGACTTTCTCCCTCTTGAGTCTTACAAGCATTAAGAGTGTGTCTGAGTGCTTATTATAGATAGAGCAAGAAAACTGATGTTCCCATCAGGACCTGCTATAGACTGACTTGAGTACCACCAAAAGCCCTTGTGGCAAAGGCATGGGTGCCAGCCTGTGGCACCTTTGGGAGGCTGTGTAAACTTTAGGAGGAGAGTTAGGTCAATGGTGGAATGTCCTTGAAGGAGATATGAGACCCTGAGTCCCCTGTTTCTCTTTTTACTTCCTAGGTGCTGTGAGGTGAAAGGCTTGTCTTTGCTGCCATGATGCCTTTCCCACATAGGCCCAGAGAAATGAGACCAAGTGACCATGGGCTGAAATTGCAGAAATCATGGCACCAAACTTGCCTTCCCCATAGGTTGATTGTTTTGAAGCTTTTTATTGCACTAACAGGAAGCTGACTAGCAGAGGGATACTAAAGTGCCATACCAAAATGCATCACTGGTGTGGCCTAACATGTTTCTTCCTTGCTGGGTTGAGATTTGAAATTGAGTGACAAGTCGTACTTCCTGAAAACAACAGAAAGCAGCACTCAGCACTGACAGTTCTTTGGTTATAAATCTGCTTTGAGGGAACCCAAACCTTACTAACAACAAAACAAAATGGGGTGAGACATCTTGTGATGCCTTAGTACCACGGGGGTATCAAAACCAAAATGTGCCCTGCTTATGAGTTCTTTATCTTTCCCAGGTTCCATCCTTTCTCATTCAGCTTTCCTAATAGGGTTGTCATAAAACAGTTATGGCTGGAACAAGTATTCCTCTAAACTACTTGGTGGCCAGAACAGTAACAGCAACCATAAACTTCTCAGGGTGGATGGTGTCCTCACTACCGTGTACCTGAAGTAGATATGTTTTTTTTTCAAATGATTTAAAATGAACAAGAGGTCATAAAATGAATAAGAATTGGATCCCATCTTCATCATTGTCTTGGCTGTTTCATAGGAGCCAGACACTTCTGTGTCACCTTCCTGCAGAGTGCTAAGCCTCGGTGCATTCCTGAATTCTTCTTCTCATTGATACATGGCACCTTTGTTCTGTCCAGAATGGCATGCCAAAATGGCGGCAGGTGGACCGGCTCTCCATTGTTAAGGAGACAATAGAAGGATGTCTGATAAGCATCTCACGTCAGATTTTTTCTCCAGTCAAAGCATATTGGCAGCGCAATTTTCCAAATTTGCATTCTACCTGTGGCTTCACAGAGCTAACCGAGATGCCTTGCCAAGAAGGGGCATTGTTCCCTCACGTCTAGAGCACTTACAGGATTATTGTAGGTATTGTCTTGGTGCTGCGTAACTGTCACAACTAACTGGCAGCTATAAATCTCAAGCTGTTCAAAAGGCTTTTGAACTCTTCTCAACGCTTCAAGCAAGTTTATTTGATTAAGAAGCATGTGGACAGGTACCATATCATCTGTGTTTCAAAAAGGGGTTGTAGATTTTAATAAATATGTGAAAAATCCAGAGTACTTTCTAACATACAGTTTGGAAATGGTGTTTTGCTTTTTGGACAAGTTGCAAAAGGTAGGACTTCTTAAAATTTAACAGCTCAAAACATTTTTAACAGCTCTTTTTCATTTATTGGAAGTTTTTAGTAAAGGCTCAATGCCTATTTTGAAGAATATTCAAGAAGGATATGTTTATGTGAGTTGAAACCTATATTACAAAGCTTTTTAATGCCAAAGCTAAGATTCCATTTTTATATGACTTCCTTAATTTAGAGCATTCTGATATATTTACATATAATTCAGTTAAAGAATTCTAAACTCACCAGTCTATAGAGATGTCTGTTGCCTGACATAAAACTTTAAAACCCTCTATTATTATTATTATTATGTGTTTATTATGTGTATTTATTATGTGTATGCAGTGAAGCCACTATACTACAAAGTTTCAATACAAAAAAAGCTAAAGATAGTCTGTGCCTACCTCTAAAATAGCTCTTGAAGAGCCATGGTTAGATAGAAAATTAATCTTTAAATATCAAATGGTTGCAGATGATTTGGAATTTCAGATTTAGGAAAGAATATTCTAGATGGTGAAACTAGAAAGATTTCATTAAAGAAGTGAGTTTAAACTACTTTGTTTGAAGAAATGTTCTAATGAATGTGTTTCTACAGCTTCCTTTTGATCATATATTGCTACTGTTCAGAAATCAGCCAAGACTAATAGCTCATCTGGGTGTTTTTCTGTCACAGATAATCATGAATATAAGTAGATACATAGAAGATAACCCAGAAAACGGCTTGCACAATCCACAGAATTTTGAATAGAATCATGATGGAAAGAGGTGGATGTTTATTGACAAAGCAAATCCTCAAGATTACTGGTAATCATTTAGCTTCTTGATTTTATTTTTCCAGTTTAAATTTAACTGTTTTCAACCTAATGGCTACCAAAATAAGGACAAACACTATTCTAAAAATTAGTGTCAATCAATTTCTATTACTGTAAGAAATAGTTGAGCCAATTAATTTATAAGGAGCAAATGCTTAATTTGGCTCACAATTTTGGAAGTTCAGTCCATTGTTGGTTGCTCCTCTTCCTCTGGGCCCATGGAAGGACGGCTCTTTGTGACTTAAGTGTGTAGTTCAAACTCTTTGCTTCACTGGAAAGGTGGAAAGAAGAGAGGAAAAAGAGAGAAAGAAGGCTTCAGAAGGCGACTTGGTTGCTTTTCTCTCATTGGGGAAAAATAATACCCAACACTCAAAATGAGGGAAGGAAAGGTTTATTTAGCTCACAGTTTGTAGAGGTTTCAGATCATAATCAGTTGGTTCCAAGGCAGGGTGGCATGGGCAACACTTTAAGGCAGCAACCAGCCAAAAGAGGACAAGCAAGCTCTTTTCCTCCTCTGTATTGTACACAGGCCACCCCTCCTCCAGATGAGGGTAGCATTCATAAAATCTTGCCCTGCTCTTGTGCAGGAGGAAGGTATTTACAAAGAACTTTGGCTTTCTGCTGAGTCTAAATTTCCTAAGTTGACACAATGTATCAACCATAACAGGAGGCAAATTAATTCCTCAGAAACTCTAGGTCAGAATCATCAAAGAGATGGTGATTGCAACATTTGACAATTGTTGAGAACAGCTAGTGTGGGTCCCTTTCATAAAATGCAGTAATAAGGAAGAATTTTGGGGATTGGACTGAATTTCTGTAACATTTAGCAAACTTAACTTTTTCCATTTTCTGTTCACCATATGTGCCATATTTTCTATTAGCATAAGATTCCAGTCACCCTTAAATAATCCGGACCCAGTGACATAACATGATTACGATTCTGCTGGAATTAAATAGATTAACAAAGGTCTATTTGGTTTCTCTTTTACTTTGGAAAGTAAAATAGCTTCTCTAGGTTACTTATGCATACACATATCTGGCAAAATAGTTCCCTTTTGAAAATGCTTAGGATAATATCAAGTATTATGTAGAAATCATATATTTGTTATAAGCTCGTTTCATGATAGTATGTGGTGTTTGTTTCTCCTGTCTAATCATTTTAAACATTGTATTAGAACTGATAAGAGATTGATATTTTATTTTTCCTCGTAGTGATTGGGCTTTGGTGGCATTTTATGGTTCTGAATTTTTGGCAAAATCAAAGGAAGTAGAGTCAATGTCTCCAAATCCATCCACTTCAGAAAAACCAAGGCATTACAATTACCTGAAGAACTTGTACTCAGCCGGGTATTAAAAACTCTTTGATGTATAAAGAAGTAAAGCTTGGTCCAGATCCTCAAAACACTTCATCTTCATCTTGCAAGGAAAATAATGACTTTAGCAAGTGACTCAATTTACCAATCAAGTCTAACTTATTAGTCAGAATCATAATGTTTAAAAGAAGAGATACATAAGGAGAGATCAGAATCATAATGTTTAAAAGAAGAGATACTTAGGAGCAAGAGCCATCTGCAGAGTTTCCAGAAGAAAGTCAGCCTCATCTGATCTTTGAGATAAATTTCACCCCACAGGAGCACTAGGCCAACAAATATTGGAAAGGAGCCATGGTGTTCATGGATCAGTAGAAAAACAATCCTGGTATCAAACAAAGAAACAGAAAGTAACCTTAAAGGCTAATAAACCTCTTCTTGGATGCAGCCGGGGCCTCTTGGGAGCAGTGGACACAGGTGAACTGGTCCCCACAGAGTGCTCAGGTCGGGTGGGCAGAAGGGTGTATGTGCCATGGTGGCCTCTGGATTTCCATGCTCTGCTTTTGAGGGGCTCCAGAGAACCCCAGATTGAATGGGTGTTGCACTAGTAGTGTAAAATAATGTGTTTGTTTGTTCAACTGAAATAAGCTAGTAGGTGAAGTCCCATTCTAAGTGTTTTATGTTTTATTAACCTATGTATTTGGTCTTGGCTGACTGTTGCTGTTTGCTGTGTCACTTAATTGTGTAAAACAGTGACAGTGAACAAGCCAATCAATCATCTGGAATTTGACAACTTGCTTCTTTGCTTTATTTTTAAGGCACGTGTGTGCTTCAGGCCTTAATTTTTTGGTGGCATGTATCACATAGTTGTTACTCAGATGGAGCAGCTGTTCAGGGTAATGACTAAGAATGCAGAGCTAAGAGAGAAACTCAGGTTGAATGGAAAGCCAGCCCTGGCCCTCAGCAGGGCACCGCTGGGGGAGGTTATTTCCTCCGTTTCCTGGTTTCTTCATGTGCAAAAAAGAGGTGATATTATTATTATTATTAATAATACATATTGCATAGCACTAAATGTGCCTTTATAACCTATTACATTTATATGTCTGCTTCCTATTCTTTGGGTTGAAAATGTCCGCAAAGGCCCATCTGTGAAAAGCTTGTCCCCAGCAAAGTGCTATTGGGAGTTGGTGGGACCTTTAATAGCCAGAAAGATGCTGGGAAGGTTTAGGTTTTTGAATGTGTGTCCTTGAAGGAGATGTGAGGCCCCTCTTAAGCTCTTTTTCTCTGTTTTCCTCTTTTTTCTACCTTTCCCAGGAGGTGAGGAGTTTGGCTCAACCTCATGCTTCTGTCACGAAGAGCTGTCCTACCCTCGGTCCAGAGGAAGAAGGACAACCAACTATGGACTGAATTTCCAAAATTGTGAGCCCAAATAAACCTTTGCTCTTTATAAATTAATTAGTTCAACTATTTCTTACAGTAATGGAAGTTGATTGACACTTGTTTTTAGAATAGTGTTTGTCATAACTCGAAACCAGAATGTGAAGGGAAATGAATTATTCATATAACCTTAAGTATCACATAATTTTTCTTGCATTGCAAACTCAAAGTATAAGTAATTAAGAAAAAAAATTTAGGAATTTAAGATCATATATTGTAAACATGTACTAAAATAAGTAAAAACATAGTGCTCAATACAGAAGAAACAACCAGAACTACTAACTATGATTATTTGATAGTGCGAAGATGTCCTTAACATAACTGGTTAACACTGTTTCATCTACAAAGAGCACTACACATTGTAGATCCTGGGTGAAAAGGCGTTAGATCTACTGAACCAAAAATAGAAAGCAATTCTAGTGTTTGTTCAAAAAACAGATATGGCTAGAAAATATTCAGTAAGATTAGTTTGCTTTCTTCTTTTTCTGTTTTTGAGCACTGTGTGTATTTACCAGAATGACCTAATCCATCACCCTGACTTCATTTACATAAAACATTTCTTATATGTTGACATCCAAATGCAAATCTCCAAATCTGACCTTTTCCCCTAGCGCCCAACCTGCCTACCCAGTGGTCAACTGGGTAGAAATCTGTTATTACTTTAGGGAATTCAATTGCCAGTTTTTGATCTTTATTTTGATTAGCACATACTTGTTCTACATAATGATTACCTTCATTGTGGGGAGTGTGTTTATGTACGTAACACATCTTAATTCTTTTCATCTTCCATTCCTCCCCTTTCCATCTCTTCCCTCTCCTCTTCCTCCATCTTTCAACTGTTGCCAGTATCTGTCACACTTACAATCCTCACACCCTGCTTTCCGTAATGTGGCCTTCCACCAGAAGCAGTGGCATCCTATGACACATTAGAAATGCTAAATCTTGGACCCTGCCTCACATATGTTGAGTCAGAAACTTGGGGGAAATTTGAAAGCAACAATCTAAGTGTGTGTTTTTCTTTATTCATTGTAATTTTATTGTATTTTGCTATTCTATTTAATTATATCAAAAATCAACTGTTTACTATACAATCAGTGCATATCTCCACAAGAAAAATAAAGGAATTGATTGATTGCTGAGTTGTAAAAATATGTATCCTCCATTACTTTTTCAGATTGGTTCTGCCTTTTATAAAATGAATAAACAGTATCTAATATTTGCTTTCTGATATAGTATTTTCTTTTTTCATAATCAGCTGTAATTTGGGAAGCTTTCTGAAAGCAAGAATTATTTTGGTCTTTCAGTTCGTTTATTGTTATAACAACTCACCTTGCAAAAGAGTTTCAAGGAACATAAAATGCAGCTCTTCAAATTGAACACTGGAACACAGTTAGCCGTCACTGGGGTGTTGCTGAAATAGTACGTAAAGAAACTATCTTCTGGATAAAGTCAGTAACTCTCTACTTTTGAAACATTAAAGTGAACATGTCTATAGTTAAACTTGTGTTTTATAAAATAACCAAGCTATGATCTGAAGAACCCTGCTGGTGATTCCAATGCTTTATTGTTTGAAAGCTATTGTTCTAAACTAAGGTCTACCCTTATAACTAGATCTATTTTGTGGCTCCCTCACCTTTTTAAAAAAGAGGACTTCAGTGTTTTCCAGTGGGAAACGTCATTCTTTGAAGCTCGGAAAGCATGAGTGGAAAGGGACAGGCCTAGGGATGCTTACCTGGTGACCTAAGAAGTACTGCAGATGGGTGCTCCCCTGGGCAGGCTGTGGGGTCTCAGGCTAAGGACAGTGTGTTTGTGGGTTCTCTCCCTCCCCTCCTCCTCGCCACCCCTCTCCCCTACTTCTCCCCACTCCCCTTTCTTGTGTCTTACTCTTCATGAACTGCAATATTTCAATGGAATTTAAAAGAAATGATAAGTACATCATTATGATCATAAAGTCTTTTATGAGGTTGTAAAAATGGTTTATTTACACAGTCCATTAAAAATAATCTGTGGTCTCTAAAAATTTGCTGAGGGGCAGATAGGGAGATTACTTGTGTGATTAGGAAAACTATATCCTTGGGATATCTTCTAATTATATTTTAATGTATTTGAAAATAGTTTTACATTAAAATCAATGGTAGAATCAGATTATGTGGCAATGCTACGCTTTTAAAATATTTTTGTTTCTCATGTGTCTAATTTAAAAATATTATCACAAACCTGGAGGGTCCTGATCCGATTTCTGATTATTGATCCTTCTAGATGCCAATCTATTGGGCACACGATTTCCTCTTTGCAACAGAAATAGGAGAACTGATCAATGTCTTTTTCTTAACATAAAACACAAGGACCAATGAAGCGTCTTAAGAAGACAACACAGATTACAGATGATAATAATTTAAACCATTATTGTATCTTCCAATAAAGAGAGAGAAATAACTTAAGGTAAGTCAGTGTAAAAGGAATTTACTATCCTTAATTTTCTAAAAGCATTAATTCTAGTACATTTAGAAAACATCCTAGAAATTGTATAGTTTTTTTCCCAATCCTTTTTTCTTTCTTTAGTTAGTTGTTAAAATTGATTTTCTTTACTATGACTCATTTCTTTTTCTTGGCATTAGCCATAAAAACTGAAGAAAACTGTGTTGCTAGTTTAGGTGAATAAGGGAGAAACAAGGCTGTGATATAATGAGTGTAATTAAAAGCATTATCAGAAGAATATATTCAGACTATTATGGTAGGAAGCACTAGTAGATTTCATAATAGGCTCAGACAGCCATTGATTGAATGGCAGAGAAAGCTCACACATTCTACTGTTAAACAATACACACTTTTCATTCACAAATATTAGACGAGCAAGGATGACTGGTAATTTCGTGAAAACCAGCAGTAAGAATAAACACTAATAAGAAAAAATGCTATTGATGACAAATAATATAAGTAAAAGAAAAAGAGATAATAGAAGAGCAAATTCGCTTGCTGTTTGCATTTTATATTCAAAATAACAGGCGAAAATACTACACTCTTAAAATACAGATGCTGTAGTGTCACCAAAGGAGCATTTAGAAAAGAAGCATTTTTAAATAGTGAAATATGATAATAAGTAAGAAAAAAGAAAAGTGATGGTAGAAATAGAAAGATGAAGAAAGGCAAAACTGAGAAAACATGAGATTGAAAGACTCTTTCAGTGTAGTCCAATTATCTGTTTATTAGAATTCTTAAAATGAGAAGAGGGGGGAATGATGAGGGGTAATGTAAGAGGTGAAAGCTGTAATATTATCAGTTTTCAGAGTAAGTGATGAGTTGGAAAAATTACAAAAAATAAAGTAAAGAAAAAAGCAGGAGCAGACACACTAAAATTTCAGAACAATAGAGACAAGATGCTAGAAGTAAGCGTTGTGCATTTTCAGAAATGCAAAGACTTGGAAACTTCACCTCCATGCTCCGGTTCTGTAAGCACATGAGAATGAATTCCTGTGAACAAAGGAAGGATGGAGGAGAAAGAACCTCAAGTGGGAGACAAAAGGAAGCAGTTCCGTGTACATATGTTCCCATTCCCTAAGATGAATACAAACATTATGTACTGGAAATAGGCATTGATAAAAAAAAATAAAATTAAAAACAAAAACAAATGATGGGCTGGTGGTGGAACTCAGGCGTAGACCACTGGTTTGGCATAAGGTCCTGGATTCTATCCCCTGCCCTGGAAAAAAAACCTGAGAAATATTAAGCAAATTATAGCAAATAAGAAGCAAACAAAAATTTGACATGGTTTGAAGGCATTTGAATTTGTTTATGGTGAGAAAAAAACACATATGGTGAGAAAGAAAGTTTTCGTTCATTCATTTGTTTTTTTGGTTTGTTTGTTTTTGAAATGGGGTCTTGCTATGTACTTCAGGTTGGTCTTGAACTCACTATGTAGCCCAGCTGCCCTTGAAATCACAGCAATCCCACTTTAGTCATTTTTCAAAAAATATTTCTGATTTGTGTAGCACATATTTAGAGATACAGAATTGTTTTTCTCGCCAATCATACTATTTTTATAGTAAACAGTACTTCTCAATAATAATAGTCTATGTGTTGCTTATTAATTTTTTTGAAGGGTTCTACAACTCTGAAAATTCTTAAGGTTTTCATTTTATGAGAAAATGAAACAAATTTCATAATCATATAATAAGAGAATAATAATAGTTAATATATTGTATATCATTATCATCCAATCCAAGTAGTTACTCAGAGTACAAGGCAAAAAATTCTCATGAATAAGAAACAGATGATGACACAAAAGTTTCTTCTAAATGAACTAAAATGGACTAGTGGTATAAATGAAACAAATTAGTATATATTAAAATATCTTTGAAACAATGGAGTAATTTGGGGAGTAATCATGTGAGTCCGAATCTATTATAACTTTCTTTTAAATGAACTAAAATGGGCTAGTGATATAAATGAAACAAATTTATGTTAAAATATTTTTGAAACAATGGAGTAATTTGGGGAGTAATCATGTGAGTCCGAACCTATTATATGCTGTTTCTCTCCTTTCCTTTCTCCTCCTCCTTCCTCTTCCTCTTCTTCAATTATTTCCTGTCTGTTTCATGCCTGGTTGTTTTGTCCTGAGTGCTAGACATTGTTTATGAAAACTTCAGGAATTTATTTAAGTTTTAGGGTAGTGCTATGTTTCCTTAGATGGAATTTATATACACTTTTGAGGCACTGCAATATTTCCAGAGACGGACTCAATTTCATTGTATTTTTGATTCACTATTTTGCCTAGTCTCAGTGGTTTTCCAGGACGCAGTCAGTTTTCAAAACCTGAGTTCTAATTTTTATCCCATAGCTTCTTAAGGCTTGAGAACTTAGTTTATCTCAGCAATCTATGCTTGAATTGGAAACAATTGCCAAGGAAAAAACATCTCCAAATTTACTTTTTAGGTCTAAAAATACCTCTTATACCATTATTGGAAGCATAATTCCCTTTAAGAGAAAATAGAGCATACAAAGGATAAAAACAGAAACGTATCTACAATACAAATAATTACGCTTGATAATATGGAAATGATGATGATTTCTGTAAAAGAAGGTGGAGAATGAAAGACAAGTGGATAATTAGGTTTTTTTTCTGTTCTACTAGGTATCAAAAATGAGTTGTCCTTCTTAAATAAATGGTTTGGAAAAAGACAGACTCACATGGCACGACCTGTTTCAGAAATGACACAATGCACTGAATATTAGAGCATTCCAGTGAGGCAGGTGTTATGACTCGTGTCTAGGTGTCACCCCCAAACTTCATGTAATCATAGGTAGAGCTTTTTCAAAGGTGATTGGATCTAGAGTATGTTACACTGGGATTGATTCATGTAATGCTAGGCTCAAGGGTGCTAGGATTAAGGGTGTGAGTGCTACCTGCCCTGAGTAGTCTGGATAACATAAAAGGAGCAGAAAGACACTGTTAAGGTCTCTTGTTGCTTTTTCTGTTTTTGCCTTCAGTGAAGTGGTTTTTTCCTATGTGATACCTCTTTGTCATATGTCATTATGCCTTGAAGCTAGCTAACTGTGGACTGAAACCTCTATGAACTGTGAGCTAAATAAACCTTTCCTCATTTAATTTGGGTGTCAGGAATTTTATCTTAGTGATGAAAAAGGTAACCAAGACAGCAGAAGTAGCAGGAAACAGTGTATCAGTGAGATGGAGTTCTGAGCATAGAGAGTACAGGAAAGTCTGCAGTTTTGTGAGTATTGCCACTTGAGAGTCTGTGAGCTGGGTCCTATGACCTAAAATGGTATAGTGACAGCAAAGCCACCTCAGGAGGAGAACACAATAAACAGCAAATAATTGTTTTAGTATTTAACAAGAAAAATGTGTTACGTGCAGAAACAAGCTCCTTGACTGTTATGTCTGTTATATTGAATATGTGCCGATTTTAAGGGCTGAGGGACAAACACAGTCAATGTTTAAATTAAAGAAAACTTACTATAGTAAAAGATACATTGCCCAGAACACTGAGATGAGTGTGTTTGAAGCGAGGGGGAGTATTTTGAAGGAGGTTAATGGCAATTTTCTTCTACTGTATTAAATTTTAAACATTTAAACATTCACCTTACTTTTTGATCTCCCCTCCTTGAGCTAACATTCACAGCAATTTCTGTCAAATGAAAACATTTTGGGGTGTCCTCATTCAGCTGCTTCCCTGAACCTGGCATGGTGTGGCTTCTGGCTCTTCCCTAAAGTCAAAGACACAGTGAAAAGTATAGAAAACTGAATCAGGACATTGAAGCAGCCATGACTGAACAACTAAAGACAAGCAGTTTAAACAACTCCCAGAAGTTCTTCAACAAATCCAAAGAACAATAAGGTGAGTGTGTTTGAAGTAAGGGGGAGTATTTTGAAGGGGACAAATGCCAATGTGCCTTTTAATGGAATAAATTATTTAAAAATTTTAAACATTCACTGTATGTTTTAATATACTTTGTACTTGGTAAAGGTAGTCTACAGATATTTGTTGACTGCTTTTGAACGCCAGCACCATGAAAAGATTCCATAAGACAATTTATTTGAAAGCCTTTTCATGCACCAAGCTTTCCAAAGAAAAAGACATTTACTGGATCTTAAATGTGTTGTAAAGCATTACCGTTATTCTCATGGAGCCCAGACTATCATTCCTGACATTTTCAAAGGTAGTATACAGGTCATTTGAGCTTTGTACATGATGGAAAAATATCCACATCACATTAGCCAAAAATAGTTCCATTTTAATAGGGTTGACCCGACAGCCCTAATACCCATAATGTGCATTTTGATCATTATAAATTCTGTGCCAGTCTAATGGTTTGCATGGATTATGAACAACTTTAGATGTTCTTGCTTCTCTGGGAGAGAAATTAATTAGAAAAAAGGTCCCTCTGTCCGAAGGGTTTATGCTACTAAAAGTGTCTGTGATATATAAGACAAGTTTGCAACACCATATAGGCACAAGCTACGTGTGTTATCTTCCATGCTTTGAAAAGGTGAGAGGCAGAGGTAGGGACTCTTTTCTTGCTGTGTGATTAAAGCTCGTGGTCTTACTTTCTCATTTAAGTAGTTGAGAATTCAAAGTCTAAAAGGCAAAAGTAGCAAGAATCCATACTAAAACAAAGCAAGGGCATAGATTTAGCCAAGTCGCACTCAACTGTGGGTGCCACACTCTTACAAAAGCAGTAGGCTGTCTTTTGGGACCTGGGCTAGCTGCCACCCAGATTCATGGAAGACAATCCTGCAAGAGAAGGGAGCAGTTGAGAACATTTCTTGGCAACATCAATTATTACATCTATTTAGAGGCCAAGATATATGATTCTATTTTGTATCTTATATTTTTCATCGTAATATGGGTTGAACTGAATGCTCTATCCCAAGTATGTTGAAATTTTAACCCTAGTGCCTCAGAATGTGATTTGTATAGAAATAGGGTAATTGTATAGAAATAGGGTATAGAAATAGGTTAAGATAAAGTTATACCAGAGTAAACTGGACTCCTAATTCAGTGCAGTGGAGGTTCTTGTAACAAGACAGCTATGAAGACACAAAAGCCCAGAGAATTGCCAAATGGATCAGAGGTGGAGATAAGAGCGATGCTGCTACTGACCCAGGAATGCCTGAGGTTTCCAGAAAACAGAAGAGACGAGGAAGGACCGTCCCTCAGAAGCACTGAGGAACGCTGGGCCTATCCGATAATTTTGAACTTCTGGCCCTGAGAACTGTAAGAAAGATTTCTATAGCTTTAAATCACCTAGTTTGTTGTATATTGTTAAACATCTCTGGGAAATGAATATACTTCTGCTCCCTAAATTAGGTAAAATGGAACATAAGAGTAACTTCTTGTCTAACTTCAGTAACCAGTTAAAATAACTCTTGATATTTTGGCTTCACTATCTGTCAAATGTCTGCTCCCATACCGTCTTTAAGAACTGCATAGGCTTTTATTTCGTAAGTGTGGTAATGTACTTTATAGTTGGCTTGATTATATTTTACCCCTTTCTTGTATTCTAAATTGAATTACACTGAACATCTTAGTATATAAATGGTTGTTGACTCCTTTGATTAGTGTTTAAGAAAAATATGTAGAAAAGGAATTATTGACTCAAAGTATGCATGTTTATTTTTACTTTTTCAAAGCATGGCTTTTAAAAACATTTCTAGATATGTTAGCAAATTGTTCCCCTTAAATGTTGTAGCAATTTATTACTTGCACTTAACATATGAAAGAGGATCTTTTTTGAGCTGAATCCCAGTAACATCTATGTGTTGAAAACACACACGCGCACACACACACACACACACACACACACACACACACACACACACCTCTCAACTACATGAGAATGTGGTATGTTAATTATTTTGATTGGGGCAATTACTTCATAATGTATACATTTCTCAGAACATCACATTGTAGATCTTAGATGTATATATAACTCTGACTTGCCAAAAGTAGGAAGGCAGAATTCTCTGCTAATTTGACTTGCACTTTTTGTTACCTTAAATACTGACGTATAAGCCTTGCAAATGTTTATCAACTCTTTTATGACTCCTCTGCTATTGTTTATTACTTTTTCTTAAGTAGGTAGAGTTTTGCAATAAAATCTACTTGTTCCTTGTGTATGAAATATCTTGACATCTTTCAGTGTAATTATTTGTGTTATGAAAGTAAAGATAAGTATCCTTTAGGGTTGCAGTAAGAACAAGATGCTTGTATGCTGAATTTACTACATACCTAGGACCTAATAAAGTTTTTATAGAAACAATTTATTGCAGTTTCACAGGAGCTAAGTCAAATGGTCTGTATACACTTTCTCTTGTTCTCTTGGGTTTGATGGCATACTGATTTTGACTTTTCAAACAAACCCTTTTCTCATCTGCACAGAAGTCTTGGCCTTTTACTTTTACTCTGCCTAAAAGCTTTGGTAAGATTGAACAAAGATGAGAGAGTAAGCTGAGTTGGGAGCTCAGCTTGTGCCAATGCAGAGGCAAGAGAGTGCATGAGCTGGGGTAAGGATGGGAGCTCTGCTTTCAGACTGCTGGGTTCACATCCTGTCTCAGTGTATTGGTCAGTGGGTGTCTTTTATGTCTCAATTTTTCTTCTTTAAATGGAGAATTAATAATGGTAAATATCTCATGTTATTGTGAAGATTAAATACAGTCTTTTCATTACCTATTGTTGAATATCCATTACCCTAAATCTAGCTCTTTGTTTTTTGGTACCAGTAATGGAACTCATGATCTCACGCTTTGCAGGCAGGTGCTTATGCCATTGAGCTAAATCCCCTGCCCCCCACCCCAACCAAGCTTTTATAAACAATAATAAACCTTTATTGTCTTGTGTAAGTCAGGACTTAAGCAGTGTCTCAGTTGTGCGGTTTTCATTCTGGCCCTTCAGGAAGCTGTCTTGAGTGTTCCTCTGGAGCTTTCCTCATCTAGGCTTGGTCAGGGCAAGAGGATCCACTTCCAGCTCTAACTCCCAGCAGGAGACCCAAGATCATTTCCCTGTGAATCTCTTTCCAGGGGTACTTGAGTTTCCAACTGGCCTCCATGTAACCCTGGAGAGAAAGCAAAAAAGAAAAGTGGTAATGTCTTTTGGACGAAATTTCAACAGTCTCATGCCATGATTTCTACCACTTTCCAAGTCATTAAGTGGGACTTCAACTCAAGGGAAGGCAGAATAGTTCAGTCTTTGGAACAGAAGAGTGCTAAGTGTAGACTTATTTTCAAATGACTGCATGATGTAATTCACGCTAGACACTTCACAGAAACAGCCTATTGGAAGAAGTCGAAGATGCCAGCCACTGTAATAATATCACACACATGGTCATTATTCACAGCTCTTTCATTAAGGGGTAGTAAATTTTGCTGTAGTGGTGGCTTTGGGTACATGTTAAATATAGTCCAAGTTAAGTCAGTGAAGTAAAGTGGGGCTAGATCTGTCATGTGACCAGAAAGAGCTGCATTTTTTCCCCCATTAAGTCCTTTCTTTTCAAATAGAATTACTCCCAGGACACACAGTACGGGAACAAGTGCTCTTCAGGCAACAAGATAAACATACAATATGGCTATTCAATTGGTGCTTTAATTGTGAAAAAATAAGTAGATATATTGGAATATAGAGAGCAAACTTGCTTGGATCTGAAAGATGAAACATTAGAGTTCAATACAATATTGGTCTTTGATGGGCTATTTTGGACTCTACCCCTTTGATCTTAGGTAAATACCTAAACTTTCTTTCCATTTGGAGATAAATTCCCTTTTATTTCAGTTAGTGGTGGAATTCAGTGATCCAGTTAGTTGATGGTTTTGAGGCAGGTTAAGACTTTGATATTTTAAAAAGATACCTCAGCCAAAAATATGGAAGCATTTCTGGTATAAGAAGATTGATAAATATTCACATTTACTGATAGTAAAGTCATCACACAGCTCTAATAATTAAGGGTTGTAAAAGGTTAAGATAAAAAAGCAATCTTTTTATGAGTTGTTATGCTAGAAATAGATCTGGCATACACCTGAAAAATCAAATGCAGTGTATTACTAGGAGATTTGATTAATTGATGAAGGATGGAATGCTTTTAATGCATGCATGTCAAGGGAAAAATTGGCTGTTTGTCGTAAAACACTCATCCTTAGCCCCACCTTACATTTTCTTAACAAGCTAAATTCCTGATAGATGTGATAAGTGTTAACATAAAATCATAAGAAATTTAAGGAAAATTAGATGTGTATTTACTTGCTGTCTGCACTGGAAGGAATGTCTAAATATAAAAGAAAACCTAGAATCCAATAGATGTATCTAAGTAACTATATACTTTTGTATAACACATTTAAGAATTTAAAAGAAACCACAAATACTAACGAGTAGCACTCATTGCCTTGCAGCTATGTGCCAAGCACTATATTTGGAGTTTTGCCTTGATTACTTACTCTTAATCCTTATAGAAAACACAAGAGCTCAGGATTGTTACCTCCACTCAACGAATGAGGAAACTGAGACTCAAGATTTCATCAGTCACTTACAACTCTGGCCACAGTCTGAATCACACAGAGAACTTTACAGAGACCTGTACGTTGGCCCCATTCAGGGAGGCTTAATCAAAATTGCTGGGAGTAGCTTCTGGCTTCCAATCATCTCCCTGAGATCATACAGCTAATTACTGAGGCCAGAGCAGAGACCTTTCTGCCTCCTAAATACCTTTGACTATGTGGAGATTTTCTTGAGAATATATTCTCCAGCTACTTCCTTCTCAGAGTTGCATAAATGAAAGCTTTACCACCGAAGAAGTTTTGGACACAACCAAAACCAGCTTTTGATCCACTTGTAGCACAGCCTCCATAATTCGTATTTTAGGATATCAGTTAAAAAGCCACAGGATGGAATGGATGGTGTTCCAGGAGCTCATTCAAAGTGGGTCACTAAAGGAAATAAGAAATTAGAGGATGACTAAGGGAAG